GCTGCAAATAGTGAAGGCAATACTCAGCAAAAAGAACAATGCTAGAGGTATCATAATACCTGACTTCAAACTATATTACAAAGCAATAGCAATAAAAACAGCATGGCACAAAAACAGACATGAAGACCAGTGGAACAGAATAGAGGACCCGGATATGAATCCACGCAACTATACCACCTTATTTTTTATAAAGGAGCCAAAAATATATGATGGAAAATAGACAGCCTCTTCAACAAATGTTGCTGGGAAAAGTGGTTATCTGCTTGCAGAAAACTGAAACTAGATCCATGTTTATCACCTTGTACTACTGTCAACTCAAAATGGATCAAGGACCTTAATCTCAGACCTGAAACCCTGAAGCTAGTACAGAAAAGAGCAGGGAATAGGAATACTCTGGAAGCAATAGATATAGGCAAGGATTTCCTCAATAGAATCCCAGCAACTCAGCAACTAAGAGAAAGGATGGACAAATGGGACTACATAAAAAGCTTCTGCACACTCTAAGCTGAAGAGACAACCCACAGAGTGGGAGAAAATATTTGCTAGCTATACATCAGACAAAGGACTGATAACCAGAATATACAGGGAGCTCAAAAAACTAAGCTCCCCCAAAATCAGTGACCCAATAAAGAAATGGCAACTGAACTAAATAGAACTTTTTCAAAAGAAGAAATCCAAACACATGAAAAAATGCTCACCATCTCTGGCCATAAAGGAAATGCAAATCAAAACAACACTGATTCCACCTCACTCCTGTTTGAATAGCTGCATCAAAAACACCACCACCACAACAAATGTTGGTGAGGATGTGGGGAAAAAAGAACCCTTGTACACTGCTGGTGGGAATCTAAGCTAGTACAGCCACTCTGGAAAACAATATGGAGGCTTCTTAAAAAACTAAACATAGATCTGCCATATGATCCAGCAATCCCACTCCTGAGGATATACCCAAAGGAATGCAATTAGTTTATTCCATAAGCACCTGCACACCCATGTTTATTGCAGCACTGTTCACAATAGCCAAGTTATAGAAACAGCCAAGATGCCCCACCACTGACGAATGGATTAAGAAAATGTGGTATTTATACACAATGAAATTCTACTCAGCCACAAAGAAGAATGAAATCTTGTCATTCACAAGTAAATGGATGGAACTGGAGAACATTATCTTAAGTGAAGTTATCCAGGTTCAGAAGGCCAAAAATTGTATGTTCTCTCTCATATGTGGACCTTAGACCTAAAACAAATGCAGTAATATTATTAAACATGGGTCACACACACTAAGGGGAGAGCACATATGAGAGGTATGGGGATAGGTAGGAAACCCAAAACTTGAAAGTGTTTGATGTGCCCACTGCAGAGGAGCTAATACAGTAACTTTTAAACAACAGAGGTCAATTTGGGAAGGTGACCAGGAAGTAGTGAAAAGGTCAGGTAGAGATGAATCAATTCAGGTTGTAATACACATGTGCATGAAGCAATGCTAGGAATCTCTCTGTATAGCTGTCCTTATCTCAACTAGCAAAATCGCTCTGTCTTTCTTATTATTGCTCATGTCTATTCTTCAACAAAATTGGAGAAAAGCGCAGAACATGTTCTGCCTGGAAGCAAGGGGTATGAGGGGGAGAGGGATGGAGCAGAGGGCAGGGGGAAAAGATGGCCCAAACAATGTATGCACATATGAATAAATGAATAAATTTTAAAAAGATATTATGGCATGCAAATTCCCATTGTAATGCTCTGCTATTCTCAAATAAATAAATATCGTTGTTCTTTGGAGAATACCTAATTTTTAAAATTTATATTGACATTATTTTGAATGAACCCCTTCAATTTTCTCTGTAAATTAGCTAGTAGCTACTGTCCCCAGCAACTACCAGAGGCTCAGTCAGAAAGGCACCACAAACGATCTACCTGGGTCCTTTGGGGGGCACCTTCACCATCTGGGCTTGTCTTGCAGGCACAGCACAAATGACACAACCACAATGTGCAAGTTGAAGAATTTGTATTACTTAAAGGTCCTCAAGCTAGGCAGGGTAACCAGAGAGTGAGAGACAGATGCAGTCCTCCATCCAGGTCTGATGTAGCCATGGCAACCCCAGAAGAGAACTTCCCCTACTCAGGGATCATTTGGGGTGTGATGTCTTAATTTTGCAGGTTTACTTCCTACTGGGTACTTCAAACAATGCTGGTGGCAACTCTGGTGCCAAGGGCAACTGAGCACTTTGGCACGAAGCTGGGCTTACAACGGGCTCTGCAGAGAATTCTTATCTATCTTGGTTAGCCTTGGCCAAGCCAAGGCAGCAATCAACTATCATTTGTCCAATTGACCTGGTGATGCCTAGGCTGTTGGCCAAGGCAGAATCACCTGGACCTAAGAAATATTAAAACCCACTGGGAAAGCCCAGTCTACACACACCCATGAGTACACAGAGGAAAATTTGGAATCTGGTTCTCCTCAGCCTCCCCAGCCCTGCTAGTGCCATCCTCACCAATGCATGTCTTAATTCCTTGGTGGTAGGTGCATCTTCTGGAATGGCTCAGGGATTCTGATTAGGGGTAATCTCAAAGCCTGTGGCTTGCAGCATTCCACTTCAATATCACTAGGACATTATAGTGCTCCACAGATGTTCTCAGCTTGAGAGTGTCACCTTCCAGCTCAATTGTTTTCACTGCCTATTCTTCCTAGATCTATCAGAAATAGCTTACTTTACAACCTTTATAGGTATGGTTGTTGCCATAGGAACCAAATACCTTGGTCCCTTGAATTCCCAGACTTGCCCTCCACTTTCACTTCATTCTGATGGTGATTGGTGTGATCCCATGCCCCACAGTGTGTGTAAAACTGCTGACAAATAGCCTGAAAGGACACTTACCAAAGTCATGATAGTTATTATCCCTGAGAGAAGGGGAGAGAAATGGGATGTGAAATGAGAAAGAGGAATTCCATTTTTGCTGTGGCATTTTACATCTTTTATTAAAAAAAAAAGCTTGAAGCAAATATGAAAAAAAATCTTAGTACCTATGAATCTTATATGACAAAGACTTACTATGTTATTTTTGTATTTTCTATAGTTTTCAAATTTTACCCCTCCCCCTTGCTCCCACATCAATACTTATGATCATAAAACGTTTATCCCAGGATACAGGTTGATAGAAAACTGAGAAAGTAATTAATAAAACCATCACATCAACAAGTAGAAACACACACAAAGCAAAATCACATCAAGATGATTACGTGGTACAAAATCCAAAGTCATGAAAAGCAAAAGCTGTCTTCTGCTCCTGCTGGCACTTCCACAGAATCAAATACTGCTACTGATTTTAGACATACTTCCAAAGACACTTAACGCACGAGCACATACCTACATCAAGTCTATACGCTTGAGACAGACATCGTTTAGCAGGTTGCTCTATTCACCATATAATACATTTTAAAGATGGTCCCACATTGATACATCTAGAGATCCCTCTTTTTGATGGTTTCATAGTATTACAAAGTGTTGATATGTCATAAATTAATCTATTAGAACTTTGAGGATAGATGCTTGCTATTTTGCTGTTTTCTGTTACTAGAAATAGTCAAATTCCTTACTTCTATTGACAAGTCACTTGACACGTTTTATTATACATGTGAAAGAGGAATTGCTAAAAGGATATGTGCATTTCAATCTTTGACAGTTACTGCCATGTTATCCTCTATGGAGCAGTATTAATTCCCACAATATAGGAGCCTTATTCCCCAGCCAAACAGTACGTGAGCATACTAAATGAGACTTCTGCTATCTTAAGTATTGTCTCCATGTTTAGAAACTATTTTAAATTCTTCTTCTGTGTTCTTCTACCTCTAAGCTTCTTTGCCCATTTTTCTTTTGGAATCTTAGAATTTTTCTCCTTAACTTATAGGAACTTTAAAAAAAAAGAAGAAGAAGAAGAAGAATTAGCCGGGTGCCAGTGGCTCATGCCTGTAATCTTAGCTACTCAGGAGGCAGAGATCAGGAGGATCGAGGTTTGAAGCCAGCCCAGGCAAAAATCAAGACACTATCTTAAAAGTACCCAGCAGACAAAAAACACCCAACACACTGGTGGAGTGGCTCAAGTGGTAGAGTGCCTGCCTAGCAAGAGTGAGGGCCTGAGTTCAAACCCCAGTACCACAAAAAAAATAAATAAATAACTATTTGTGACAGTTGCTACCATTATTTCCCCAGTGTGTTGCTTCTTTACTTTTTATGGTGTTTTTTCTACAAAGATAATTTTATTTGAGATAGTCACTATTTTCTATCCTACTTTTTGATTGGAATCTGGACTTGGACCTTTCTTATGCTGAATTTCTAGAGTAAGTGATTTGTGATATATTCCAATTTAGCCATGAATAATCTCATAATAGACTAATTCCATGCTTCTCTGTAAATGTGTCTGAAAAAATTTAAAAACAAGTTCTTAAGATTTTAACTGGCAGAAATAGACCAATTCAACCTGCAAATTCATACGTCTTACAAATGAGAAATTTAAATTTCTTTACTCTTGGGAATTTTTAATAGAGAACTAGATTTTTAACTTTCTGTCTTTCAGGAAAGATGGGTTTGCCCAGCTTTAAATATTGGGAGAGTTTCTGAGTAACTTATATTTTGCAGCAATGGCCTTTGAAAGACGCTGAATTCCTTTAGACTCCACAGAACAATACTAGATTTACGTTGTCATTTCATTGGTGACTCAATGGAATGGAAGACAAAAGGTAACTTATGAGTCTAGTACATCCATCCTAAGGCCTTCTATCATCCCAAAAATCCACAAATAAACACAGAGTGTCTCCTGGGGACTATGGTGGTTTTACCTTCATGTAGTTAAGTTCAGATTTTCCATAGGAATAATATTAAAGTAAACTAAAGAGCAGAAATTTTACCTACTTACTTGGAAGGCTGAGATCAGAAAGATCAAGGTTTGAGGCCAGCTGGGCAAATAGTTCCAGAGACACCATCCCCAAACCAGAGCAAAATGGACTGGAGGTGTGGCTCAAGTGCTAGAGAACATGCTTTGCAGGTGTGAAGCCATGAGTTCAAATCCCACTCCCACACACACGCAAAAAAAGAGGAGAGATTTTAAATAGCTAAGAAGCATGCATAAAGTATAGGAATCAAACACATTAAAACCATTAAAAGAAAAAGTAGAAAATAATAAAACACTATAATGGGGCTTTACAAAAATATTGTAATTTGTAGCATGTTATCCTACATTTCAAAACACGCCCTGCACAACAGTATTCATCTCCATCTTTCATACTTCCCCTGCACTCCACTCTCAAGTGTTTCAGCACATGGCTGTGTAAAAAAATAATGAAAATAGGGCTGGGGGGCGTGACTTGAGTGGTAGAGTGCTTGCTGGTGAATGTGAAGCCCTGCGTTCAAACCCCAGTACTACCAAAATAATACTGATAATGATAATCAGGATAATATCTGAGCCAACCCGGTGCATATGGCTCAGAGATCTCTGACTAGATCTTTGACTAGTTCTTCCCTCACTGAGCACCTGATCCCTCCCCTCCACACACACACAGTCTCTGAGCCTCCAGACCCTCAAACTACTCTCTGATATCCCTTATAACCATCTGAACTTCTTGTTCCTGTGCTATTTGCTTGTCTGGGATCTGCCCCTTCCCCAAGACCAATCTCATCATCTTGTTTGCCAAGCTATCTACCTCCAGTCCCCAGCACCTAGAAGAGTATATGGTCTTATAAATGAGGGCCCCTTAAGTGTTTTATGCTATAATGTTTGGAAAAAATAGTTTCACAGTTAACTAGAAATGAGAGCTACCTAATGGAATCTTCTGGCATCTTCTTGTCAGACAGAAACCTTTAGAATATACAGATGGTATCGTGCCCTGGAAGCCAAACAGAACAGAATATTGTAGTAAATGGTGGGTTCGACTGCACTTGGAATGATCCCAAACACATGTTTCTTTCCAGGCCTGAAAAGCGGTGGACGCTGTCTAACATGATATAATCAACTAGAGCACCCAATGCATCCCTGACCAGTATGAAGGGGTTAGATCCCTCCGTGAGCTGAGACATTCTTCTCCTCCTCAGTACTAACAGAAGATTATCTCTATATTTTTCTATTTCACTTGCTCTGCTGAAAAGCAGAACAGCAATATCCTTGGGAGAATAACCATTCCTCCAAAGTAACTGGCACTTGTCTGCTACATAAATCACCGTCCCCTCCAGGTCTGGGTACTCAGTGATCTCTAAGTTGCCTGGAACACCTTGAGTCCATTTAGGTTTCTGGCACATCACCAGGGACCCAGGAGGGATATTGGGTGGAGGATTTTCTCTGATGTTCTGCATTGTTTCTTGTAGATAGCTGGCTATTACATCTGCATTGCGGAACACCCTGGTGAGCTCTGTTCGTGGAAACTGGACTGAGAGAGGGGGGAGGCCGCTGCAACACAAGTGGCTGGTCTGAAAGTAGTCCAGAAAGATCCAAAGAATTCCTGGACAATTCCTTTCTCTCTGAGTGATGGCTTTTGCCTTCCGATACCAGTCTCCATCTTCAGCATGGAAATTGTGGGCTTCATCAATGATAATATGTTGAATCCTCCCGAAGTCACTTTTCATGAAGTTTTTCCGTGTCACAGCTTGGAACATGTTTCTCCTGCTGAAAGTATAAGAAACACAATCAGGCTTTCCTCAATCCAACAAAAGAAACCAACTCTATTCTTAAACTCCTCTGGACATGGTAAATACAATATGAATCTTAGAATGGAAACTTAAGGCCACTAATCAAACTTACTCAATTAAAGAAAGTGAATACAAGCTGGGTGTGGTGGCTCAAACCTGTAATCTTAGCTACTCAGGAAGTGGAGATCTGGGAGGATTATGGTTGAGGCCAGCCAAGGACCCAAAAAAAAAAGTTCAGTAGACTGGATCTCAACCAATTAAATAAAAAAACTGAATGTGGTGGTGTGCGCCTGAAATCCCAGCTACTCAGGAAGTATAAATAGGAAGATCATGGTCCAGGTTAGCCCAGGTGAGACTCTGTCTGAAAAATAACTAATGCAAAAAAGGGCTGGGAGGCATGGCTCAAGCAATACAGCACCTGCCTGGAAAGTACGAGGCCCTGAATTCAAACACCAAGACAGAATGAAAAAAAGGAAGGAGGAAGGAAGGAAGTGAGGAAGAAAGGAAGGAAGGAAGGAAGGAAGTGAGGAAGGAAGGAAGAAGGGAGAGAGGGAGGGAGGGAGGAAGGAAGGGGAAGGAAGGAAGGAAGGAAGGAAGGAAGGAAGGAAGGAAGGAAGAAGGGAGAGAGGGAGGGAGGGAGGGAGGAAGGGAGGAAGGAAGGAAGGGAGGGAGGAAGGAAGGAAGGAAGGAAGGAAGGAAGGAAGGAAGGAAGGAAAAAAAACAGCTGGATGTGGGGTACATACCTATAATCCTATCACTTGGGAAGTGGAAACAGGGTGATCATAAGTTCTAGGTCAGCCTGAACTACATAGTGAGACCCTGTCTCAAAAACCTAACCAAGAAAGAAAAGAAAAAAGAAAGTGAATATAGTCAGGCTGCATACCTCACAAACTTCTTCAAGGGCTGGTTCTCACAGATGTAAAGAATGTTACTTGCTTGGCAGTGAAACACATTCCTGATCTTCTCTATGATCCTGAGAGCCAGCATGGTCTTCCCAGACCCAGTTAGGCCGTGGACAAACATCTCTCTGGTCTTGCGAAGGTCCTTTGAAAGCAACTCATACTGCTGATCTGTGAGTAGGTTCAGAACTTCAGAGCCCAGCTCTTCACTTAAGAAGGACCTGGACCCAAATAAGACTATCACAAGGGATTGGAGCAGAGCTTCCATGTGCTGGGTGGTCAGAAGACTATAGGACTCGGGATAAATTTGCACTTCTGAGTTACAAAGAGGTCTCACTGTTTTATCAGGATTAAGAAGGAAGGCCAAGGGAATGACACATAACCTCCCAGTGTAGCCACCTGTGTTCACCAGCCTCTGTTTCAAAGAATGGGCAACTGTTATAGAGTAGTTCTTCCAGTCCCTATCACACTTGAAAACTGTGTAGAGGATTGGGTTGTTGTTCTGGGAAATGAGAAGTGCATCACAGACGACACTCTGCTTCTCCTGCAGACCCAAGTCCACAGCCCAGCTTGAAGAAAAAATCAATATTCCTTGAGAGATGGGGCGCATTTCCATATTTATTAAGTCTCTGAGTCCTTTATGCTGTGAGAAGAGTTCCTTGTAGACACTTTCTGGAGTATAGACAATTCTATCCGAAGATACTAGACAGGGATGGATTTGGGATGAGTTAGAGAATCCACATACAAGCCAGTATCACCATTATAGTCTAGATCCAGTCAACATTTGGGCCATACCATGAATCAACACTAGGTTTTCCATAAGTAAGAAAAAGTAATTCTGAGTTTGGGGGACCTAATAAAAAGAGACAACAATAATTATGATACAAAGTAGTAAAGGCAACCAGAAAGAAATACACAGTGTTACATGAACTCCAAGGAGAGGGACAATTTAAGAAGAGGAAAAAGGACAGTACAAAAATCCTTATGAAGAAGGAGATGGTGGGGCTGACTCTCAAAGGGTGAGTTCAAGATAGCTAGTTAAGGATGGGAGAAAGGGGAGATAGTCAAGAAGGGGTATCTGAGTTATCATGGAGACAAGAAACAGCAAGGTCCATCCAGTCATTCCATGCAGTCGTGTTGCCAAAGTAAGAGGCAAAGGGGTAGGAGAAGGTGGGAAGGAAGACATTAGTGTGCCATGTCAACACCTGGCAAAGACTATGATCTCTGTGGTTTCACTTACATGACTTTCTGTAAAACAGAACTGTGAGTATGGAGAACCCCTGGCTATCAGAGGTGAGAGACTAAAGGAGAGTCTGACCACCAGGAGTCAGCATGAAGTTTACCTTTGAGTGATTGAAATGTTTTGTGTCTTGACTGTAGTGGTGGTTTCACAAATCTATGAATGTTTAAAAACTCTTAGAACTGTACAACAAAAAGTCTATTTTATGTATGCAAATTTTAGAAATAATTCTTAGTCAGGTACAGTGGCTCATATCTGTAATCCCAGGTACTTGGAAAGCAAAAATTGGGAAGAACATGACTCAATGCCAGTACAGGCCCCCCATCTCCCAAAAAAAGTTAGTGAGACCCCCATCTCAATCAAAAAAATCCAGGCCTGGTGGCATTGCCTATATTCCAGCTATGAGGGAGGCATAGGTAAGGAAGACAGTGGTCCAGAACAGCTCAGGCAAAAATGTGAGACCTTACCTAAAAAAGAATTAAAGCACAAAAGGTTGGAAGCATGGTTCAATTGGTAGAATGTCTACAGAGCCAGAATGAGCTTGAGTTCAAACCCCAGTACTGCCCCCACCAAAAAGTTGAAGTACTTAAAAAGACTTTAGAATAGATTGCATATATTAGGATCTATATTATATACTCATGCATATGTAATATATTATGTGTAAGAGTATAAGGTATATATAGGGACTTTTAGATATGTATCATCTATATACATATCATTTTAGATATGTATCATCTATATACATATACATGATAGATAGATAGATAGATGTGTGTATGGGATTCTTAAATTTGAGGGGGTACAAACCCTAATTTGGACTCTAACCAAAACTATGAACCTGCTTCCAAGAAAAAAAAATCAAATACACGCAAAACCTGAATTTCAAATTAAAGGTAGAAGGAAGAGTCAAGGATGAATCTGTGCTCTGGTGGGTGGAGAATGGACTCTCCAGTTTATAGGGATAATTTTGAAGAAACAGACATAAAATAGCAGTTAATATAGAATAATAGACAGATTCTACAGCATATAGATATAGATATATCTGACATATAGATATATCAGAATGAGAAATAAATATTGGAAATGATTAGTTGGGGATACATTTGGTACATCCAGCTGTCCAGCAAGTAGGGAACACACCAGTCAGGTTTCTCTAGGCACAGAGAAATGCTCTAGTCATTTTCTCTCAAAATGGACTAAACCAAGGGTATATTCTACTACTATATATTTTTTCTGGCAGTACTGGGGTTTGAACTCAGGGCCTCACACTTGCTAGGCAGGCTCTCTACCACTTGAGCCACTCTGCCAGCCCTTTCTATGTTGGGTATTTTTTAGTGGAATCTTGCCTAGGCTGGCCTCTATCCTTGTTATCTCTTGCCCCCTGGGGTAGCGAGGATTACAGATGTGAGCCACTGGCACCCAACTTCAACTATTTTAACATTGTTCTGGAGTAATTAACCAATGAACTAAGACAAAAACAATAAATAAAATGTACAAATATAGAAAAGATTAATTAAAAATTATCTCTGCCTTTTGCGTTAAGATGATTATTAAATAAAAAAATCTGAAACAAAATAACGTATACTTTAAAATGAAGAGATTTTCCTACATACCAACAGTTCACAACCAGAAATTGTTATCATATCAAAGTCTCATTCTAGGAATAAAATTTAATATATGAAGTAACGATGTGTGTGAAACTTTGAAACAATTGAAAGATAAAACTTATTCCATTGATTACAAATGTATTGCAGTATCCTGATGTCAGATTACATTTTATAGTTTAATTGGCAATATCTTCTTTGTTAGTGTTAAAGAAAATAATAGAACAATGTTTTTTTTTAAGTTTGACAAAAATGTGGGAAAAAGGACTTGAGTAAATGGACATTCCATATTGGACTATAAGAAAATTCTTTTTTCTTTTTGGTACAACAAAATGGTTCTAAGCTTCTTCTAAAAAGGAAACACCATGCTAAGACCATGTTGGTGAAAGTAGATCAAGGCATGGGTTCTGGGTTACAGTTTGGCAGTATTTATCTAAATTTATAAATAATTGCTATTTCTTGGAACCTGTCCTTTAGAAACACTTCAGTTATTTATAGAAAAATGTATATTGTAGAGTTCTGTTTAAAATAGAAAAAAAATTGATCAGCTCTTTAAGATAATACCCAACTTGTTTTCTGAAGAGATGAGACCAATTTAAATTCCCAGCAGTAATGTAGAAAAGATCTTGTCTCCCACACATGATTTTGTCAATTAAATGATGTCCATTGATATCTACTTGTGGGTTTGATCTGCATTTTGCTCATTGGTCATGGCTTGAGCAACTTCATAAATTTGTACATATGTGCTTCCTTTTCTGAAAAATGCATCATCATACCATATTTCCCATTTTTCTATTGAGTGGTCCTTTAAAAACTTTGTATAAGTTCTTTATCTATCCTTAATACAAATCCTTTGTTAGCCTCTACCTGGGCTACAAATGTCTTCTTCAACTTCATAGTTAAATATTTTCATTTGAAGATACCTTTTTAAGAAACAGGAGTGTGTTAGCTTTCTCATTACTGTGACAAAATGTCTGACATAAACAACTTAAAAAGAAGAAAGCTCATAGTTTCAGAGGTGTCAGTCCATCATGGCAGGGAGGGCGCCCAAGAGCAGAGAAATTCACATCATGGCAGCAACGACGCACAGAGAGAGAGAGGAAGAGGAAGGGGCCAGGGCAAGATAAGCCCTTCAAAGACATACCCCAATGGCACACTTCTTCAGACCAGGTTCCACCTTCCAGTTTCCACCACCTTCCAATAGTCTACTACATTTTGAATCCATCAATGAATTAAACTATTAATTAGGTCAGAACCTTCATGATCTAATTTCTCCAGAAATACTCTTGGACACACCCCAGAAGGGTGCTTTACTAATCTCCTCGGCATCTCTCAGCCCAATCAAGTGGACAGTCAAGATTAACCAGAGGAGTTCTTAATATAATGCAGTAAAATTTTTCAAACTTTTTGTTCAATTTTAATACTTTTGCATCTGATTTAGGAAATCCTTCCCTACTACAAAGACAAAATTTTCCATATACATTTTCTATTAAATGTGGTTTTTTCATTTTCTACTAAAAGTTTTAAAGGTTTGTTTCTGATGTTTATGTCCTTAAATCTTCCAAAAATAATTTTATATGTAATAAAACATAGGAGTCAGATTTTTTTCTGTATGAAAGAACAATCAGCGTGTTCCAAAGCAACCAGAGATGGCAGATTACCTGAGAAGTGACGTTTCTGCATTTCTTTCAGACATTCCAAATTCTTATGAGTGCACACAGTCCTGCTATGGGGTGTGGCATATGACAAACTTCGTGCAAGAACCATCTCAGGAAACCTGGAAAGATCTTAGGAAACAAGAACCAAGAGTTCAAAATACAAAAAGGCAGACCCAGCTTACAGCTGAGCTATAACTCAAAGCCACAGCCCACAGATCATTGAGTTTATACAGGTCAGCTCAGGAAATCCTACTGAGGTTTGGGTTGGGGGAGGGCTATAGTGAGGAACATTTATTTTTATCATATTGAAACAAAACTTTTTATATTTTTAGAGTTAAATATATTTCAAGATACATGTGTGATTAGAAGATGTGAACGTTGCTGGATATAGATTTCTAAGCAGTTTCTGAAATAGACTTTATTTTTCTGGACTTTTAAAGAAGTGACCATGATTTGTTTTATCTGATCTCATCAGCTTTCCTTTTCCATGGTAAATGCTGTTACAACACTACCCTTTAGCTTGTCCGTCATGGTTAATATCCCTAAAAGCAAGAATGGGAAAGCCATGGTTTGCTCATGTTTGGTACAAAAATGGAAGTGGAAAATATTACATATTTTCAAAAATCTAGAAGAAAGGATTTTAACTATTTTTACTACAAACTAAAGATAAATGTCTAAGGAGATGGATAGCTTATCATGATTGAACATTTCACACGTTTACGTGTATCAAAGCATCACCGGCTACACTGTAAATAAGCACAATTTTATGTGTCAATTTGAAATGTAAAGTAAAATGGAAGCAAGACAGCCAGGGAGAATATTGAATCCAGGGAACCAGACAAGAATAGGAAGTCAAAGGAAAGGGGCAATAAGTTAGAAAGGAGACATGTGTCCATGTGAAAAAGGAATGTCCTGAAGAGTTAGAGGCAAGTTCATAATTGGAAAGGAAGAGAGTTTACTGTGAACACAAGAAAGGATGTGCCTGGCATGATGGTGCACACCTGTAATCCCAGCACTCCAGGGGCTAAAGGCAGAGGATTTCAAGTTTGAGGCCAGCCTGAGCTACATAGGGAGACCCTGTCTCAAAGTAAAATAAAACAAAACATAAAAAGAAAGGATGTGAAAATAGAAATAACTAGTTCATACTTTTTCCTTCACCAACGTCACTGAGACTACCAGCCCAGGGCAGTGACCCATCATCTGTGAGAATGAGTCTCTCTTTCCCCTGCCTCCCCTCCAGTAAACATCACAATCATCTTTGGTCTTATTCCCTGACCTGGATCGGCCTCCATCATCCAAGCTACCCATTCCTTTGTGGCCAGCTGCCTTACACGGTTGTCCTTCACCTGCCAGGAGCTAGGCACTTTAGCAAACACTGCACAGCAGAATGGCTCCACTCTGACCGCAAAGACATAGCCACGGAGGGTCCCCTTATCATGCACTTCAAGGCATTTGATGGCATACTGGATGATATGACGCTGAGAACAGAAATGATGGACTGGTAACTTCCTAATGCAGCCATTAACAGACTCCCGCAATGAGGGAAGACTTATTTTCTCTTTTTCACATCCAATGACTTGATGAGTCTCATCATGCACGCCAAAAAACACGTAGCCTCCTTCGGCATTGGCAAATGCAGACACACACTTGGGGAGCTGCTCTTTAATGCACTGGACTGGGTCTGCTGAGAACATCTGAAATTCAACATGCAGGGACTCAGTAAAGTAGAGCCTTTCCAGATACTGAAGCTGCACCCTGCCAAATAAAGTAGCAGCCATGGCCGTTGTGCCAGTTTCATAGTGTCCGCCAACCTGTGCTTCCTCTGAATGTAAGGAATTGGGGTCATAGAGAGCCCTAAGAGTCCGACTCTTCTTGTTGAGGAATTCCAGTGCTTCCTGAGAATCCATGATGTCAGTAGATGTCTCATGTCTGTAGTACAAGTTGCAGCACAAGGTGGCCAGACGTAGGCCAGAGGCCTCTGTGTCCCACGATTTCACAAATAGGAAGAAGAGGTTTCCCTGCTGCATCTCATCTAAATTGCTTCTGAAAACTGGAGGCAGATCCAGTCCTATACCGTGGATCTCATAAATGTAGTCTTTGTTCTCAATCTCAGCCTTGATCACTCCTCCCCCAGAATTCAGCAGCGCGCACACTGCCTGCAAGATGACTTCATTCTGTTGTGTCCGCAGCAGAGAGTCCATTTGCATCCTTTGCTGAATCCCAAGAGTGACTTTTCCTGCATCTATGACAAACTCAGCAAAGTTTGTAAACGAATCAATCTTGAGACCCATCCGCTCAGCCTTTGGCTGACAACCCTGAAACGTTCTCCTAAAAAACAGAAAGACAGGGTCATTGGAATAGGACAAGAGGGAGAGGGGTCAGAATCAACCGTTCAAGGCCACCCTTCTGAGGCTGGTCCCTTCATGTACTCCCATGTAGCTTCAAGCACAGAACAATGCATGGAGGGCAGAAAGACGAACTAAGTCTCCTGGCTGTCCTCTGCCACCATAGAGATGACCAGGAAGCTGGGTTGTGCTGTGGTTTTAGTAACTATTTTGTCAAGTTCTTTGACTGGCAAGGACTCCTGGGTCATCTGTGAAAAATAGACAATTTTGTAATGATACTAGAAGGAGCTAAAATGCAGCAAGGAAGCTTTCTAGGCCAGAGTATCTATGGGGTGTGCAGACACTTACTGGTTTCCTTTGTTCTATGTTTTCTTTCACTGAGACTGAGAAATTTTCAGATTATTTTATAGTCCAATCTGGGGAATAAATAGATGTGATTACATGGATAATGTATCATTGCACTATAGAGAAGTTCCCATTTTGTAAAGATATTTTCTATTTAAGATATACATATACATATATTCATATATGTGCATACATGCATACATCCTTGCTCTGTTTCTGTGAGCAGGAGCCACAGAGGGCAGGTTCACCTGGAAGGGACATAAATAATTCTGAGAACAACAGAAGGAAGACTGGCCTGTATTTAGTTAGCTCCATAGCAACTCTATGCACCAAGCACTGATACAATGCTTGTGGAGCCACCTTCCACATGATTCCAGCAGAAGAAAATGATTGAAAATCCAGTGGACAGGAAATCATGGGCACACCATGCAAACACTGGTGGAAAGAGCTCAGGTTGACGTTAGGGTATTGCCAGGAAAGCCACAGTGTTCAAGCTGCCAAGAACTGCCACAGAATGGCAAGTCCTTGGTGAGTTTAACTGTATCCCAGGTCTAGTCTTGGCCTTATAAAATTGTAAAATTAATATTTTTAAGACCCCAAAGTAAATGGTATGAGGGAAGCTGATTTACCACCCCAAAGTCAAAACTGACAGAAGCATATGAGCCACAATGGTACTTGGTTTCTGTTACTTGAGAAATGTCACTGTCGGGGAGCTCAAGCATTTATTTTAAACTGATACTTTAATCCTCTTCCTGTAGTGTAGAGCATGTGAACAGGTTTCAGAAGGGTGTTTGATGAGCATGGAATCTGATCAAAATGGGGTATTTTATGACCTAATTGGCCTCACACCCAATAATTTCATGCAGCTGTGCTACAAAGCAACAACCAAAGAGAAGGTAACCGTGCAACAGTAAAGAGCTTGGGCTGAAGAGGGAGAAAAACTAAGTTTATATTCCTCTCCCACTATTTGCTAGCTTTGTATCTCTGGGAAAATCACTTAACCAATTCTTTTTTTCTTTTGGTACTGGGGGTTGAACCCTGGGCCTTGAGCATGCTAGGGCCACTTGGGCCACATCCCCAGCTCTTTTGTTTGTATTTTATTTTTGAGCTAAGATCCTGCTAGCTTTGCCTAGTCTGGCCTTAAACTGCCTCGCAAGGAGCTACGATTGCAAGGCGTGTGCTATCACAGTTGGTTTACTAAATCTATTTTGATGTGCCCTGAAATAGAAGTAAAAGAACTAAGCTGAGGTACATGCCTGTAATCTCAGCTACCAGGAGGTGGAGGCAGGAGGAGTACATTCTGAGGTGGGCCTGCGCAAAACTGGGAGAGCCTATATGAAAAACAAACTACAAGAAAAAGGACTAGGCTGCGACTCAATCCCCACTATTGACTGAGGTCGTTCAATCCACAGTACCACCAAAGGAAAAAAAAAGAACTGAGACTATACTGCTTTGTGAAATTAATAGTCATATATCCTTAAGACATGAGCAAGAATGCCATGACCATTGCTACTCAAAAACAGAAAAAGGAAAGAAATAAACTATAGTATGTCATAGTAGCAAAAACTACTGGAGCATGGACACATGCGCCATTTTGAATGAACTCCAAGAGGGGGAAATGGGTCTCACCTGTTGCTCAAGTGTGTCCAATTGCTCATTGTCTTTGGTCAAAAAATCTGTAGGCAAGAAATTTTTGATCCACAGTTTTATTTGGAAGCCCCTAAGTACTAATCAAAAACTGCCACCTAGTTGGTCCTAAGAAATCCTACTTATTTCTGTTTTTCAAGGTGCCTTTCTAAGCAACAATTTGTTCAAATGTTCCCCAGAGTGGCCATTAAAGGGCCAGACCATCCTTGAAGTTATGCTATTTAGTAAGGTACATGAGTTAGTACTGTGCACATAAGAAGCAATGTTTGCTAGGTGAATAGGGGATCTAGACTTAGAACACCCTACAAGAGCTGGCAACCATCAGTAGGAATGTAATAACTGTGCACCTTGTGTATCATGTCCCCCAGCTTACAGTTGGCCACTTCTGAACTCAGACCCAACAATCTTGTTCCCCAGCAGGCTGAAACCACAGAAACACTCTGTCTGGATCAAAGTCAAGATCCCAGCATGAAAACTCAAGGAAGAGGGAAAATCCTATCTGGTTTTAACCCACGCAGAGTTTTCCAAATGGACACCAGTTCAAGGAGATCCACAAACTTACTGGTCTTTGAGGTCAGCTCGAACAAACTTAGAGGGCCTCTTCGTGTCTTGTGTTCTGCCCTGTGATGCTCCTTGTGACAAACACTTCTAAATGGACCACACAAACAGAGTAAAAAGGGATGACAGGGAATAGCCTGATTGCACCAAAGATGACACAAAATGGAAACTGGTGACAAAACCCAGCTCCCAAACTGAGAATAAACAGCTGAGAAGTGAACACAATGAAAGAAAAGTTCAGAGCCAGTGCTGACTTACCACATTGGTGCAGACAAAACGAGTCACTAGTGGCAAGGTACAAGGGGCCTCTGCAGGCACCACACCTGGTCAAAGGCAGAGGTCTACAGTGACAAGTGGGACGGGTGGTGAGTCGCTGGAACCTCCAAGAAAGCTGTGAACATTAAGGAAAACCACCCAAGTGAGAACAAGTGGAAGCTATGCATTCAGAGCTCACTGTAACAAGAGAGTCAGTTGCCATCACTTGCTCTTGGCTCGGCTGAATGACAGGCAGGGAAGTACAGATGTTTTTTAGGAACAAGGGAAGGCTCAGGTGTGGTCTGATCTGAAATTGTTGTTAATGCGGAAGATAAAGGCATCTAACGAGAAATGGAGCATCCTATGTGATTACTTTGGGGAATCTATTTGGTTTTCTGTGGTCGGTCCTGAAATGGAAGTGGGAGCAAAAATTAGGGAAGTTGTCAGTTATTGGCCAAGTGCTGACCACAATGGGCTAACTGCTCCAGGGCTTGGGGTTGGGCTCCCTTGCTGGTTGCTGCTGAGACTGTGGGTCAGAGTTCTGTTTTAATAGATTGTTTGCTCATTGCATGTATCTATATTTATACTATCACCTATAAAATTTCTAGAGGGGAATATTAAAAAATATTTTTACCTTAAGTTAGGCAGACATAGTTTAGACATGACATTAAATGCACAATACAGAAAGGAAAAGCTCAACATATCGGACGTAAAGAATTTCTTGACTCTGAAAAACATTTAGGAGAATAAAAATATAAGCCTCTGACTGGAAGAAAATATTTGTAAATTATGTTCAGTTAAATTAGGTAGAGAACACTCAAAAAGCAACAAGAAATTAGAGACAGATATGGTGGTTCACACCTGTAATCCCAGCACTTGGGAAGTGGAGTCAGGAGGATCATGAGTTTGAGTCCACCAGCCTGGGCTATATAACAAGACCCTGTCTCAAGAAAAAGTCAAAAAGAAAAAGGAAGGAAGGAAGAAAGGAAACAGGGAAGAAGGGAGAGAGGAAGAGAGAGCAGGGGAGAGAGGGAGAGGGAGAGGGAAGGAGAGAGAAAAGGAGAAAAGAATACAAAAAAGACTATCATAGCCAGGCGTGGTGGTACACAACTATAATCCCAACACTCCAGAGGCTGAGGCAAGAGGATTGTGAGTTCAAGGCCAGCCTTGGCTACAAATTGAGAACCTGTCTGAGAGAAAGAGAGAGAGAGAGAGAGAGAATATATTATATGATTTCATATAAAAGCATAAACTTTTAGGAAATGCAAGCCAATATTTAGTGTTAGACAGCCATTTTTTCCTTGGTGGGAATGAGGGTGTAAGATTAGAAGGGAGGAGTTACAGATAGGCAAAAGGAAACTTTGGGAGGTGATATATATGTTTACTATCTGTTTTTCTTTTTTTTTAATTGTTTTATTATTCATATGTGCATACAAGGCTTGGGTCATTTCTCCCCCCTGATATGTTTACTATCTTGATTGCAGTGATGGTTCCCATATGTCAAAATTTATCAAATTGTAGACTTTAAATAGGTACAATTTCTTGTCTGTTGATAATACCTCAATAAATCTATCAAAAACTAAAAGCCTAAGTAATTTTGAAAAACTTAAAAGTACTTCTTTTTAATATCATTAGTTCCAAAACCAGCAAGAAAATTATGTGCCTGCTACTGAGTTTTTTTTCCATAGAAACTAAATCTATGATAGGATTATTGGCCCCAATTCTGTACACTCCACTTGGGGACCTTTAGATGCCTCCTATGTCATCTGGCAATGATCCTCTGACCTTTCCATTGCATATTATAAGTTTACACTTCTCAGACCTTCAAAGCCACCCCTCAGTGGAAATTAGTGCCCCCTGGTATAGGGAACAGCAAAATAAAAAAAAGTGTTCTCTCTTCCCCTACATATTTTCATGCATTATGCTGCATGAAATTGCCTTGTAGTTTTTGAGTTTTCTTCTTCTTCTTCTTCTTCTTCTTCTTCTTCTTCTTCTTCTTCTTCTTCTTCTTCTGGCGGCACTGGGATTTGGGGTTTGAATTCAGCACCCCCCACTTGCTAGATAAGCACTCTACCTCATGAACCACTCCTCCAGCCCTTTTTAGTATTGGGTATTTTCGAGATAGGGTCTGGAGAACTATTTCACCAGGCTGGCGAACCATGATCCTCCTGATCTCTGCCTCCTGAGTAGCTAGGATTACAGACATGAGCCACCAGCACCCAGCCCCCTTGGAGATTTGTCTTTTTTACTTTTTTATTTTTCTAACAAAGTAATCCTCTAGGATGCCAAATCCTTAGGTACTATTCTGACCTGAATGGATGTCTCCTAAATGTCCGGTTTCCATGACAATAATACTGAAAGGAATTTACGTTTTCTGATAGGCGTAAACACAGTAAATTTTCATAATCATTCCAGGAGCTGATCATGACAGTCCTTCTTCCACTTGCACTGGTAAACTGACAACTCACTTTCTTATTTAAACAAAAGAGTTTAAGCCTTGTGGCTTTTAAACACTCTGACACAGGATGTGGTCACATTTAGTCGCTCCCCTGGCTACAGGAACTCTCCTCCCGCTATCTTTTCCCCTAGCCCCGCCCCCACCCCCCACCACCACCCCCCCACCCAGAATAGTGATCAGTTTCTGTTTCCCGATCTAGGCAGGGCTTCTTCTGGCCCGGCGAGGCCAGATATTACTCTCAACTCCTCCCACCCCAACTCCACCCGTAGGGTACTGAGAAGAATCGGCTGCAAAGCCCTGCATCCAGGATCCCCTACCTAGCTCTTGCGCAAATCCTGAGGGATTTTCTTCTGGCTTTCACTACTATCTCAGTGCAAAAGAGATGCACAATCACGCTCCCGCATCCCAGCCTCTGTGGACCGAGTCCAGCGACCTCTAGTCAGTTCTGGCTCACTTGAGAGCCCGAGCACTCTGTCCAATGCTGTCACTGGGCTCCAAACCCCGGGCTTAGAAGCATAGTTTGAGGACGTGGCCTCTTGTAATTGACCACACATTGACTATTGGTCCCTAGCCACAACCTCACTTGGTTTCCCTCGCAGAAGCCTGCGTACCTGATTTAGTTGTTTCCTTCTGGCTCTTGAACCGCTTGGTTTGGGCTGGGCTGCTTTGCGCCTCTTCTGCGGTCCAAGCCTCCGGCTCGCGGGTCCTCCGCAGCCCGCTGACCTTGCAAGTTGAAACTAAGGGTTAGCTGGCGGGAAGGAAGGGAGCCCGAAGCAGGGTTGGGGGCGCGTGCGGACCTTTGGGAGAACCTGTGCTCGGGATCACCGAGGATCTTTCCGCGCCAGCGTTTCTCCTCTGCAGCGCGTCTTCCTCCCGCAGTTAGCAATGGAGCCTCCCAGGTCCAGAGCGAAGATCTTGACCCTGCAGGCTCCGGTCCTTATATCGTGTGAGTTTGGTTACATCTAATGGGCGGGGCACTGTGCAAGGGGCAGACTGAAGGACAGCCCAACTGTAATATTTAACCTGGACGGGGAAACGCACTCCTACAAAGATAACCTTAGCTAACTTTGGGGGGAGGGGTTGTGGGGGGAGGCTTTGCATTTCTTGTTGATTTTTTTTCTTTTAGATTTACAGTTCTTACCCGCCACCCACGGAAGGAAACCTGGATGCAACCATGTCCTCCATGTCCTCCAGACCTCCCCACTCGCTCTGGCCCTTCCCGGGATGCCCCCAGGCTCCCGCACTCCTCAGGTCTCTCCCCTTTGGGTATCCAAGTTCCTCCATTCCTGTTCAAATTGCCCCATCTGTGGCTTTAACTCCCTGCTAAGTGACAAAGTGACAGGAAGGAGAGGGTGGGTGGGTGGACCCACTGAGCCAGGGGGGGAAGCAAAAATAAACCTTCGTTTTTCCCACCCACCTCCCCAATAATTGGAGAATGTTGGTTCCTCTCCTTTCTTTGGCGGGTGCTTCAATTTGGGGTGAATCCCTGCTTCTAAGGATTCCAACGGAGGCCCACTTGGGCGCGGGGTTGGCGGCTTGGGTGAGCCCCGGCACGCTCGGGAGGGGACTTTTGGTGACTGGAGGAAAGAGAGTTCTTTCTTTGAATCTTCATTATACGCAGCTTGTGCGGGACGCAGTCCAGTTTGCTCCTCTTAATTCTGAGTTCCTCTTAGTTTTGTCACCTGTGCTGGGCACCTGTGCTATAGGAAGCCCAACCCCCCCGGACCGGCCCCAGCCCTGCGTGCAGTGCGCGCGGCTGCAGGGTGGTAGCCGGTGCTGGGACCCGAGGGTTCAGAGTGGGCCCAGCTGCAGCGCAGGAGCGGGGTGGGGGGCAAAGAAAAGCCTGGGGACTGATTCAAGCCCGCGCCCCCAGAGGGTGTACGCAGCACGCGGGGACTCCTGGAGCATTCAGTCCAAATCCAGACTCCAGCTGCTCCCGGTCCTTCCTCCCCTTCTTAAAATGCTGGTGAGTACAGATTTTTCCATTTCACGGCGTTGCAAGAGAACAACTCCTGTGTCCTGAGCCCCGAGGTCCCCTGGAGCCTGCCGGGAAGACCCTCCGTTTCCCATCTGTCCAACAGCTGGAGGTCCCAGTGGTCCCTGCTGAGGAAACTGAGGGCGCCTGTGGACCCTGGGCAAGGAGGACAGGAAGAACAGGAAGTTTTGGTCTAATGGGAACGGAGCTGGGGGAAAAAAAAATTACCAAAGGACCAGGACCCCACAAATCTCTGGGGAGACCACCTGCCTGCCCCAGCACTTTCAAATCCCTGCCCACAAAGGGGGCTCCTGCAGCACTGCTCCTTTCTGGCCCAAAGGAAGTCACTCCTTCCTTTGTGCCCACCCATCTGTGGGGGCTCGGGTTCCATTTTTAAATGTATTGTCAAACAACTAAGGTACATTGAAAGCGCAGAAATGATAAATTAATCAGCCATGTATGTACCACCTGTCTTCAACAATGACGATTCAAACAATGAGGATTCAAACATCAGCATTGTTTGTATCCTCAGCTGGTCTTACTCCCTCATCCCACCCATCTTCTACTCACCAGATACTCACAGCAGTTTTCTGAACTTGAAGTTACATCCCCAGGCATCTCTTTATACTTTTATTATGTGTGCATGCCCCTCATCAATACATAATTTTCACACGTTTATGTTTAAACCACATGTAAAGGGTATCATGCTATGTGGTCTGCAGAACTTGCTCCCACCTCCAAACGTTTTCTTTAAAGACTTCATGTCTCTAGATCAGTCATTGCCACTGTTGTATGAGCTGGGTCCTTCCAGCTCATGTCCCCATCTGTCCTGCTGAGCCCTCAAAAAACTATCCAGGTTCCCCCAGCTTTTCTGCACAACACTTCAGCTACCACCAGCTTCCGGTAATAATGCTCCTTTATGTATTTCCATCTTCATCCTCACATACGGCCTTCCCATTGTAGCTTTCTAGACATTCCTGAGAGGGGAGATGCCTTGGAAAATGATGCCCTTGGAGTGTGAGGGGAGGAAGGGCAGATATTTATTCTGAATATTAACTCAAGTTTTAAAGTAAAATCCTTGGGTTTCCATGAGTAGGAAATGCTGAAAGCATTACACACACACACACACACACACACACACACACACAAAAACACATGCACCAGTGTTTACATTTTTCCCATTAATGAGCTAAATAGGAAGTAAGCTAGTAATAAGAGAGGAAGGAGGTAGATTAAAGAGACAGATGGCCTTTTAAGGGTCATGCAGTCTCTCGTGGGAAAATGGTTATATTAATATCAGGAGACTCAAGTGCCAGCACAAGGAGGCTGGAGACTGCAGGTCAGTGAGCCGGGTCTATAGCAAACTTGCTTCCGGGTTCTCCCTGAGAGTCATGGGGTGATTGATGTTGGGGCTCTGTGGCATTGTGGCTGACCAGACTTGTGTGTAAAACCTTTTATGAGGGGACTGAGGGTTACAGCAGCCATGAGTCTCAGCATAGAGCCTTCTTGGTACTTCCACACTTTCCTTTTTCAAACCCAAGCAATTTGTTTAGAATGCTTACATTTTAGGCAAAACCATATTTTTCACTTAAAAATATATTTTTTGGCAGTTCTGGGGTTTGAACTCAGGGCCTTGCACTTGCTAGGCAGGTGCTCTAACATTTGAACAATGCCCCTAGTCCTTTTTGCTTTATTTTTTGGATAGGGTCTCTTGTTTTTGCCGGGGTGGGTCTTAGACCACCTCATAGCTGGCAACAGAGGTGTGAACTATCACACCCAGCTCATTTGTTGAAATGGAGTCCCACTAACTTCTTACCTGAACCTTGATCTCCCCTTATCTGTCTCCTAAATAACTGGGATTACAAGTGTGTGCCACCAAACCCAGCCTTTTTTTGTTTTACTTATCTTAATAACAAGTTTAGAAGAAAAATTTACATACGCATGTTTATCATGTTTCTTAAGGACACTGTTTACCATTTGACTAAGTGGAGTGAAACCTGCCAAGACAAGTTTACTTGAAAGAGGGATGAGACATCCTTTGCCAACTTGAATGGTACACACAAACGGTACACATCAGAGCCAGTGGTAAGGAGAATCTTGCTCTGTGGCCCTCAGAGCACCCATGTTGAAATCCAAGAGTAACCCAAGGTTTTTCTTGTCTCCATGGGTGATTATGTTTTGTCTGAAGGTGTTTAGTGGGTTTAACACTTGATTTGCTCTTGCAGGGACTGGAAAATGAACGTAACTCTCCCTCAGCCTCCCTCAGATCTTTAGTTCACTAAAAATGAGTACAGTTAGGCAGAGTAAATGAACTTCTAAAAAGTCCACATTCTAATCCCCAGAATCTGCAAGGGTGTGATGTTACATGGCAGAGAAGAATTAAAGTTGCAGATGGAATTAAGGATGTGAATTGACAGATCTTAAAATAAAGAGATCTTCCAGGTGGCCTACTGACATCACAAGGATGCTGTCAGCTGGGAGAGGGTGGTGGAGGAGTCAGCAGTATGTGATGGCATGTGAGGGAGGGACACCAGCAGGTGCTGACTTCCAAAACCAAACGGGACACCCCCAGCTCTTACAGATAACAAAAAAAAAAAGCATTTTTTACAAGCTTTGTATTTTTCCATGTCAATGGCAAGATGCTCCAAGTTAGGACTGCTGCATCAATATTATGATATTTTTAGTTAGGAAAAAATACCTTTCCCTGTTTTAGGTTGTTGTTGCTTTTTTATTTTTTGTAGTACTGGGATTTGAACTCAGGCCCTCTGTGTTTGCTAGGCAGGTACTCTACCTTTTGAGCCATGCCCCCAGTCCTCTGTCCCTCTTGTCTTGGAGTGTCATAAAGTATACACTCCCTAGTCTTTTGGGTGGCTGATTGTCAAAGTATTAACTTCATGACTTTTTGGCAGTTGGGGAGCTCTTCATGTTAAAAGCAGTTCTTTGGAATTAGATTCAGCTGCAGGAAAACTTTGTAACAAAGTTTGAATGGTCCCTTTGTTATACTGGAGGATTTAGTGGAAAATGAATTCAGAATATTGTTAATCAGTATAAACACAATATAGGGGCTGGGGGCGTGGCTTAAGTGGTAGAGTGCCAGCAAGTGCAAGGCCCCAAGTTCAAACCCCATCACCAACAAAAACAAAAACTCTTTTGAGTAAAATGAAAATGGAAACTCAGTTAAAATATATGACATATGAGCATTTATGGAAAATACTTCATAGGTGATTATATTCGTACTACATCAAGTATGGAACCACACACAGTGAGGTAGGTGCCCACTTTCAGGATGAGTGTCAGAAAGCCAAAGTGTGGGGACTTTATTAGATATGACTGGAGTGAAGGCAACTGAGGCTTCAAGTCAAAACTCCTTCTGGAAGAAGACAATAATTCTAAGGTAGTAAAACGTGAAACAGCAATGGTTTCTGAATGAAAGTAACCCAGCTTATCATGATGCACAAAATGTCAGATTGGAAATGGAGTCTTCCTTGCTTGGCCTGCTTATTAGAACACATTCACACACTTCCTTTTATTATTCTGAGGTTTTCGAGCCTGTGACAGCCAAAGAAACTTTCAAATTCTCGATAAAAAGGAAACTGACTTACCTAATGCACTTCTTATGTGTGCCACACCCATTAAAGATCAAGAAATGAGGCTGGAGTGTGGTTCAAGTGGCAGAGTGCCTGCTTCGCAAGCAGGAAGCCCTGAGTTCAAACCCTAGTTGCACTCCCCCACCTCCCTGCAAAAATAGCATAATACTGTCAGCCAGGTGCTGGTGGCATGTCTGTAATCCCAGCTACTTGGGAGGCTGAGATAGAATGGATCATGGTTCAAGCCCAGCCTAGGCAAATAGTTCTTGAGACATCCGTCCCCAAAATAACCCAGCAAAATGGACTGGAGATGTGGCTCAAGTGGTACAGTGCCTGCTTTGCAAGTGGGAAGCCCTGAGTTTAAATCCTAGTCCCACCAAAAAAAAAAGATCAAGAAATGACCTTGTGGTGTAGCGCTCATAAGAACTCTCAATGCAGTGAAAAGCAGCTCTGTAAGATGTAATGGTGGACACGCATCATTGCACATTTGTTGAAATTTGATTATGATCCATCAATGTAGGCTCAGCAATTGTAGCACACGTATCTCTGTGCTGTAGGATATCTGAGTGGGG